AAATGAAAATAGGAATAGTATCGGGCGAAAGTGGCATTGTTAAAGAGGCAACCATAGGAAATTTGAATATCATAATAGACGATAAAAATGATGTTGTAGAAAAACCAAGTGATCACGACAATGCCGATAAGATATTTGGCCAGTTTGACAGTGCTGATTCGTCGCAAACATGGATCACAGCTAGTGGTAAAATATTGATCGATCGAAGCAAAGACTACCGATGACATGAAGACTAGAGAACACCATTGGGTAAATGGAGTTCGTAGTTTACACCAGAAGAACGATGTTTGAGCAGGTTGAAAACCAAATGCCAGAATGATCAAATGTGGTACTAAGCCGAAGAGTAATACGACGTAATCAGCAATTGATTCAGTCATGATATAGAATGCCGTTGGATAATGTCGGATTTGTTTCAGACTGGAAAAAACGATAATATTTAAACAATTTCCTACAATGCCAATGGTTAAAAGTATGAGCATCGCACATGGAGTGTACAGACGAGTAACCAAAGCAATCGTTTGTTCTTCAGATGATGACATGCTAGCAAATCTACAAAAGGTATTCAGTCGAGATCATAAATAAAACATGATTTTCGAAAGCCATGTTCAACACTGGTCTTAATCGAACCGGAATTATGCCGAACACACTAAAAATAATGATAGATCATCGATTCTATTCGCATACGTCTCTAATACTTTGCCATTTGATTTAATTCTGCATCATCGCTTACCTTCTGTGTAAGAACTATTCGAATATAAATTTGTCTTTAACAAAAAGGCAGGTTAAATGGTTGTATTTTGGATTGCAATTTTGAATCCCTTAATACGTTGTATTAAGAAACAAAAAATATACCAAAAGATGCAACGTGAAAAGCTCTACAATTTACACAAGAGCGCTTATTTTATAGTCGCAATTGTTGTGGTCAGAACGAACAAAACTTTGAGTGACCAAATTTTGACTGTACGAAAATTGGTCGCACAGAATTTTACTTCGTGAATTGTAGAGCTTTTCACGCTGCATCTTTTGGTTCTTAATACAACGTATTAAGGGATTGAAAATTGCAATCTAAAATAGGGCCATTTAACCTGCCTCACCCGTTAGTAGGAAGACCAAAGTAACATATGTGCAACAGCGATATCATTAATAAGATCCAAGAGTAATTGTCTAGAAGTCGAGGCGATGACAGGTCACGAACAAGTGGTGCGAGAAATTGGAAGTAATTCAAAGAAAAAGTAAAATGCCGCAAAGGAAAAATTCAAGTGAATTTTTTCTTATTCATTTATGTATGCTTTGATAGAGCTTGATGAGCTGGTCATGAATATATATAGTTTTTATTTCGATTCAGCCACAGTTTGGCGAAAAAGAACGTAAAAACTCGACTGCCTGAAAATATACGTAGCATTGATAATTATGAACTCTTTTGCTTTTTTTTTT